GCTTGGTTTTTTGAGACAGTCTCACTGTGTAGCCCAGGTTGGCCTGGAGTTAACTGTGTAGTCCAGTCTGTCTCAGCTGCTCTTAAATGATAGGACCCGCAGGCACAAGAAGCCACACCAGGCTCACACTTTATTTTTAAAAATGGGTCTTCTTAAACTGCCTGGCTCTCCTTGAACTCACCTTAACCCATAAGGCCTTGAAAATGTTTAGCCTCTTTCGGCAGCCTCCTGAGAAACTGGGATTACAAACCTATGACACCGGGCTTGGCTTTCTTATAGTATTACTAAATTTGTTCTTTCTTAGAAGTTTTCATTCTTAATGTTTCATTCATTTAAAAACTTTACAAGGGGCTAGAGAGATGGCTCAGTGGTTAAGAACACATCCTGCGCTTACAGAGTCCAGGTTGTGTGAAGAAAGCATGATTCGGGCATGACTGAAGCCCAACATACTCTTCAGCCCTGAAGAAATGGCTGCCTGTGCTCACAGAGAAAATAACTTGCAGAGCACATGAATTTGTGCCACAGATGTAAGAGAACCGGGGCTGGACAGCAAGCAGGGCACCGCCAGCAGACTGTGCGTGCCAGGCAGAAGCTGGCACGCCCCCCTCCCAGGTGAACAAACAGTAAATCGCTAACACAATGAGCGTTCAACCTCTGGCAACACTGAAACCCATGTCACTACATTGCTACAACACTGTCCCAAAGATATTGCCTGTTTAAATTCTGAAAGAGCAGAGGACAGTGGCAGATCTCTACAAAGACATAGGGTTGGGGGATGATAAAATCGACTAGACTCCAATAATTCATAAAACAGAACAGGCACAGGCAGCAGCCAGGAATTTATTCTTAACTCCTCCATAAGGTGACATCATTACAAGCACAATTAAAGCTGGCAACAAGCTGCAGAAACAACCGAGAAGCTGGACAGACTTGAGACTCCATCAAAGGACACCAGACCTTCGAATACTGACTAGTGGTAGGCCAGCCCAAGAAGAACCAAGCCAGGCCACTGAGGGGAAGCAAGACTGAAGCCTGTAAGGCCCCATAGCCCTGATCCCCACAGCCTCTCATTTATTCTGAAAACATTCACCTGAAATACTTAGGCAAATTAGAAACCTTCCCTGACTAGAAACATAAAGATTATCCCTGCCACACAGTGCTCCTGGGAATTATGAATGTAGAGCTGAGGGTGGCTCAGTTCCATATGCAGAACCATAATAATATACATATCTACACATATACATGTTACTATAATCAGTGCTATCCACAACCTGTAGCAGCTGGATGTTAAGAAAACACACTAAGGTTATTAGCAATTAAGATCAACTGAAATTTTCCTGGTGCTATTTTCCTTTGACATAGAAACTGGGCAAGCTGAAACACAGTCAGAGGGACGGTCAGAGCCGAATTTCATCTAAAGCTGCCAGCTCACTCAGACATCTAAGGAAGCATCAATGCCCTGTTTAGAGCACAGGGAAACAGCTGCTCCTAGAGCCAAGACCTCCCCAAGAAAGTTATCAATGAGCACAGAGGCAACTGAAGAATGACAGGCTGGTGCCAACAGTAGAAACCCCTGGGTAGATGACTTTGTTTTCAGCTCTGAGGTTTCTGTTACAAAAGCAAAAGAAAAGAAAACCCAGGACCCAGACTGTTCAGCTTTACGCTGCATTAGCCACGAGCAGCATGCTTAATCTCTGTGACTCAGTGACCTCAGTGGTCAATGAGGTAAGTACAGGTACCTCATGGTGCAGGGCGAGAAGTGACTGCTGACGGGGCGCTCAGGATGGTGTCTGAAGTCACGAGAAACATCAGCAGGTGGCAGAGTGGTGCTGCTGCTCGCTCATGTCTGAGCCAGCCACCTGTGAAACTGACTGACCACCCTTCCCAAGAGCCAAGGCACGGCAGCGAGAAAACCTCAGTTAGGTTTCCACGACAGCCCACAGACAAAACAAACAAGCAAGTGAAAAACAGCCAACCGAATGCAAAGAAACCCAGGTGAGCAAAGAAGGGAGACCCCTCTAAGCACGGACTTCTCTGTAAATGTGCTACCCGGAATTTGCCAATCAGTGGCCACCGCCGAATGGCAGCTGAGAGAATGGACCAGGCCTGCACTTCATGAAAGTCTGTGCTCTCAACTAGCAGCACAAGAAAAGACATTTTAATGAGTTTAGCATTTGCAGGACAGGAAATTATCCAGTTCTTAAAATATTCTTTAAAATGCTTTAACCTAAAAATACCAGAACTTTGGTTTTAAAGGGAGGGCTTCTATAAGATGAATATTACATGAGCACTAGGTTTGTAAGAATCAGATGATATAAACTAAGGATTATTCTTCCATTGAGTGAAAGACGAGAAACAGAAGGCTTTTAGAGACAGACAAGAACATTAAGAGAATTAAATAGTTTATTAGAAGCTTTCCTGGCTAGTTTCTGGCCAACTCGACACAAGCTGGACTCATTTGGGAAAAGGAAACCTCCTCTGGGAAAATTCTCCCACTATATTGAGCTGTGGAAACATTTTCTTAATGATTGATGAGGGAGGGTCTGGCACACCAGACAATGCTGACCCCAGGCAGGTGGTTCTGGGTTGTATGAAAAAGCTGACTGAATTGGTCCACAGTGGGAAGCATGGGAGCAGGAGGGCCAGCAGGGTACTGAAGGAGAAGCTGAGAGCTGACACTCCGGTCTGCAGGCCCAAGGCAGAAAGAGAGCCAGACTGGGCCTGGTATGGGTTTTTGAAACTTCAAAGCCCACCTCTAGCGACACACCTCCAGCAAGGCCACGCCTCCTAATCCTACCTACACAGTCCACCAACTGAGAATCAGACATTCAAATAGATGAGCCTATGGGGGCCATTTTCGTTCAGAACACCCCACAGACTGAACTGAATAGATCAAGAAACAAAATCTACCCATTTTCTACAAGCAATATATGACTGGGTCAAAGAAGAAATCAAGAGAGAAATTTAAAAAAAAAATCTTTTTGGAATGAAATTAAAATGAAAACGGGAACACCACACAACAAAACCTTTGGGACACAGTGAATAAAGTCCATTGCTAAGCTGGGGACTTGGAGGTACAGGAACAATAGAAACAGAATAATAGGGTACAAGTGACCTGATAGGGTAAATGGGAAAAACAGGAAGGGGGTTTAACGAGAAGGGTGAGGAAGAAGGGGTAAAATAACAGCAAATATGTCTGAAAAAGTTATAAGGAATCATACTTTTAAAAGGCGCTGGAGAGATGGCTCAGTGGTTAAGAGCACTAACTGCTCTTCCAGAAAACCTGGGTTCAAATCCCAGCATCCACATGGCAGCCCGCAACTGTCTATCACTCCTGTTCCAGGGGATCCAACACCCTCACATAGACATATACATAACAGTATAAATGAAATTTTCCCATCTGAGCTGACAAGGCTCCCTCTAGGAGCCAAGGACCATCTACCAAAACCGGGCATGATGAGCCCTCTTTTGAGTTGTTGGGTGAGGACACATTACAGGCTCTTGCTCTTGCCTTTGGTTGCCCCGCCCCCTCCAGAGGTGAAAACTAAGTCCCTATTGCTAAAGATACCCGTGTTCTTCAAAAACACGTTCCAGAGGCCCCTGAGCTGGAACTGGGCTGAGAGCCTCCTTCCAGAGGACTAGCTTTCATGATACCAGAAGGGAAGCAACCAATGGGCCCACTCAGCTGAGATGCCCAGGAACCAGAACAGCCACAACAGCAAGATAACTACAGGCACAGTAGTGGTGCACATACTTGGGCAGAAACCGACAGCTGTCTCACTGGACTTAAGACCCACTCGAGGAGAGGGAAATCAAGCCTGGTCCAGGAAACCTAGCCACATCCCCAGGGCTAGAGAAATAACAGATCTTGGAAGAGGGCTGCACTGATCCAAGGCTTTCCCTGAGGCGCTGGTGTATGCAAAAGAAACACGTTCCTTCTCTGAAGCCAGGAACGTGTTTGGCAGAGCTGGGAAGGGCCTGGGGCCAGAGCTTCAGATCACGAGAACCCAACTCTTCCCCTGTTAGGGCGCTACGGCTATAAGTTCTGAAGCCGCCGTGTGCTCTGCAATGCTCTTGAAATGCCTGTGTTCCCCTTGTGCAACGCTGTTTTACTTCCTCCTGCCTTCAGTTGCATGGTAGTTTCTGCTCATTTTGTCCCCGTTTTACCCCTGAAACAGTATATTCAATGCTGTACTTCTTTTTTGTTTGTTTGTTTTGTTTTTTGAGACAGGGTTTCTCTGTGTATCCTTGGCTGTCCTAGACTCACTTTGTAGACCAGGCTGATCCCAAACTGTCCTGGATTCACTTTGCATGCCTCCTGATTCCACACTTTCCCATCTTCTTTATCTTCTCATCTCCTCCACCTCCCACTTAGGACCCTGTCACTGAGGAACAACTTGCTGGCCCAGCTCGAGCTACAGCCACCACTTTACTGAACCAGCACAGTACCTACCTACATTCTTAATATTTGTCCTCATACCCACAGGTAAATGTAGTCCTCGCCCCTCATCCAGGAAACTTCTCTTTATGACAGACAGAGACCATCACAGAAAACCAGTACCAATTAAAAATGAACAAGTTATATTTTTATGTAAGGCAATTCTGGCTAAAATAACAACTACTAGAAATACCATACTTATTCAAATTTAAGTAAAGAGCAGGGATTCACTTAAAATAACCTGTTAGGTTTTTGTTTGTTTGTTTGTTTGTTTGTTTGTTTGTTTTGGATTTGGTTTTGGTTTATTCAAGACAGGGTTTCTTTGTGTAGCCTTGACTTGGACACATTTTGTAGACCAGGCTGGCCACAAACTCACAGTGATCTGCCTCTTCCTCCCAGAGTGCTAGGATTATAGGTGTGTGCCACCACACCTGGCTAGCTTTTTATTTCTTAAGCTCTATCTCATAGCATTTGTTTTCAAACTTTTCCTGTATATTAAAAAAAAAAATGCAGAAGCTAGCCCCATTCTGTCTCTAGGAAGCCAGAAGCAGCATGTACTTACCCGCTCTTGGCCAGCGGTGTCCCAGATGAGGAATTTATGAAGTTCATTTCCACAAGGCACAGTTTTGGTCATAAAAGATGCCCTGAAAAGAGAGTCAACCCCCTGCGTTAGCAAATCTCCAGAGACTCATGAACCCAAGCTGGTGCTATGCCACAAGAGGACCCCAAGAACAAAGCAGTAATGAGAGTGATGCCATGGCAAATGAAATAGTCTGTATTTTATATAATCCAGCTGGAGTTTCAAAACATAAAGAATGTGTGGACTGGGGGGATGGCCCAGTGGTTAAGAGCACCAGCTGCTCTTGCAGAGGACCTAAGTTTGGTTCCTAACAATAACACAGCAGCTTACAACCATCTGTAACTCCAGGGGATCTGATACCTTCTTCTGGCTTCCTCAGCACATACATGTTGTGTAGACACACATACAGACAAAACACTCACACCCATAAAATAAACACAAAATCTTATTTTAAAAAACGCATGCAGAAACAGATTCACTTGTCCTAGAGTAATATTCACTGGATGTCAGGGAAATGTCAGATGTCTTAGATATTAAAACCTATTTCTTATAGTGTGAGAAAACAAATCTCATTTTATAATTTTTAAGACTTTGATTAGCTGAGCAGTAGTGGTGCATGCCTTTAAATCCTAGCACTCGGAGGCAGAGGCAGGTGGATATCTGTGAGTTTGAGGCCAGCCTGGTCTACAGAGCGAGTTCCAAGACAGCTAGAGGTGTAAGAGTGTAAACCTGTCTCAAAAAACCAAAAACTAAATAAACAAAAGCGAAGACTTTGACTTCGAAATATAAAAAGAAAGCCGTCTTAACATATTCCCTGTGCTGACATGAATCCCGTATCATCAGTAGGTAGCAGAAGAATGTATTTAAATCTCAGCCTGTCTGCATAAACACAGGGCATGCCTCAGGCAGGATTTCTATGACTGCAACAAACACCAGGACCAAAGCAACTTGGGGGAAAGGGGTCTATTTGTCTTACGTTTCGAGACCATAATCTATCATTAGAGGAAGTCAGGGCAGGAACTCAAGCAGGGCAGGAACCTGGAGATAGCAGCTGAGGCAGAGGCCATAGAGGGTGCTTCTGACTGGCTTGCTCCTCATGGCTTGCTCAGCCTGCTTTCTTATAGAACCCAGGACCACAGCCTAGGGGTACTACTACCTACCATAGGCCGCCCGCCCCCATCACTGATTTTAAAAATGCCTTACAGCTGGATCTTAGGAAGGCATTTTCTCCATGGAGGCTCCCTCCTCTCAGAAGACATCAGCCTGTGTCAAGTTGACACAAAACTACCCAGCACAGGGATAAATAACAAAAACATATGCACACTTCTATACAAAAGGGAGGACTGGACCCAAAAAGACACACATGGTATGTCCTCACTTACAAGTAGATTTCAGCCATATAGTACAGGACAATCATATTACAACTCACAGACCCAAAGAAGATAAGTAACAAGGAGGACCCAAGGGAGGATGCTTAACTTCCACTCAGAAGTAGAAATATAACAGGTCGCAGAAGTGGTTGAAGAGAGGGAACAGGGTAGGAGAGGGAACGAGGAGAGAAGTGAGGGTGGATATCAGAGCTGGGGAGAGCGGGGGCGGGAAGACAGAGGGCTCGCAGAGAAGAGAAACCTTGGGCGGGGACTTCTCTGGGACGAGCGGGAGACCTAGGACAGGGTATAGAATAATTTAGCATGAATATTCATGGGATAAAAGAGCACCCAGAACTGGGTGGTGGTAGCATGCACTTTTAATCCCAGCACAGAGGTAGGTGGATCTCTGTGAGTTCTGTGAGTTCAAGGCCAGCCTGGTCTATGTAGTGAGTTCCAGGACAGCCAAGGTTACATGGAGAAACCCTATCTCAAAAAAAAAAAAAAAAACAAAAAAAAACAGAGAGAGTGAGAGGTGTAAGAATCAGAAATTGGACTACATGTATGCCATGTATAGCATTATTAAATCAAGGTAATTTTTGAGGTGCCGTAATAATGTTCTTCTCGGGGGACACAGTCTGCAGTTTGGGAGGGCACAGCTCAGAGAAGCTCGCTTACACTTCCTTGTGGCCCAGCATGGTCCAACTCAGAGTTCAACAGTGCCGTCAGGGCTCATCACGGCACTGTTTCTTCCACCTCTGGTTTTCCTAAGGATAAACCAGGCGATGTAGTGCATGCCTATAATCTCAGACATGCTGGGGTTACAGTACTCTGGGGGTAGCCGCAGGCTACTCTGTGAGTTCAAGGCCAGCCTGGTCTACAAAGTGAGTCCAGGACAGCCAGGGCTACACAAAAAATAACACTAAAAGGCTAATTGCAGAAGCCTCATGTGAGCCCCTGCAGTTCCACACCCCCCCGCCATACACACTCACAAAGGTTAACCTCTGCTGTCAAGTGATCAACCCACAACTGGAGTGAAGCCAAAGTCTAGGTCACCGTGTGACACGAGTCAATATTATCTATCATGCATCTCTTTGACATCAGACCTTCCAGACTACTACTGAGAGCAAATATATCGAAGAATAGTACTACACCCCACCAAGTAGTGTGTAGTACACACACACACACACACACACACACACACACACACACACACACACGAAATTCAATCAATAAAAACCAACCGCCAGCTCAGCACCGAGCCATGGCTAACGCTAAGTCCCTCCTCAACTGTTTGTTTTTTTTGTTAAACAAACTCTTTGCTGGAAAATGGATAACTCTCTAGATAATGTTATATATCCCATGAACCTTCCCATTTTTGATGACTGGAACCTCCGTGTCGAAAATGACTGAATGCGGCTCACCACGTTATGTGTCTATTCAGTGAATGCTGTGTCCTTGTATAACTGCTTCCATAGACTTAATTCTTCTCTTTTCTGTTTTTTGTTTTCTTTTTTCATGTGTTTGTTTGTTTGTGGAGTGACTGCTGGGGTTGAAGCCAGAGCTGCAACTGTAATGGCTAAACACCTGCTCCACCACTGAGGTTTAATTGCCTACCCTCTTAGTCTTATAACTTTTTTAAATTTTAATTGCAATATATTTGTTTTTGTTTGAGACAGGGTCTTACTATATAACCCACAGCAGCTTTGAACTCCCTATGTGGCCAATGCAAGCCTTAACCTCTTGAATGCTAGGATCACAGGTATGGGCCACCATGTTCAGCTTTAGCCTTATTTCTTAAAAAGCAAATATCATCCACATTTGATACATATGCCAAATTTGGGTTATGTCAACCTATACACGTATGAGATGGTCTTCTCTCCAATGCTTTTCCATCTTTCAAATTTTTCCATTACAATAGATAGAAAATGACATCTCCTACTTGTTCTCATTACACTCTGCTGTTTAGACAGTTCACTCAATTTCAAACATCTTATGAGGGAAGGGGGGGGTCTCATAAGACTCAGAAAGGAGGGGAAACCCAGCAGTCTCAGGAAATAAATGAAACTCAGAAGACCCAGAAAGTTCCTAAAACTTACAAGAATCATAGTACAGGCTAGGAAGATGCTTCAAGAAAAGAGTACAAGTGGGTACCACCAGGCCTGAAAACCTGAGTTTGATCCTCTGGACCTAGAGGATAGATGGAGAGAATGAACTCCCTCGAGTTGTCCTCTGACCTCCACATGTACACTGTGGCAAATGTGCAAACATTACCATCCCCTGTACTGAGAATTTTGGTATTTAAAAAGCCAGTTATGTTACGTGAATGTGTTTGTTTTTGTTTTAATCCCAGGTGTGGGATATGGAGCTGCTTCAGATTTACCATGAAAGCTGACTATAATGTGCCTTCTTCTCTGGCAGGGGTGTGATCTTTGCCAGCTGCAGGTAGTTTAATTCTGGGGACTCTGGAGACATATAAATGGGAGAGCTCTGAGGGCCTGTGGTGGCTGCTGCTCCCTCTGCTGCTACCCCAGCCACTGGCAGTCCCTGCTGTTGAAATTACTCTTGTTGGATTGCTGGATATTCTGACAAAAAAGATTAGACTTGCCCCTAGGAACCTGATGACCCTAAATAGCAGGAAGCAGTCTAAAGAGGTCTATGTCCTCTTTCCTGTCTAACCTTCTTTCTTGCCTACCTAGTGTTAGGGTGTTGGAAAGGATTGGGATGGAGAAGGGTAGTAGATATAAAAAAAAAACAATAAAAGAGCTAAAAAAAATAAATGCACCTACACTCCCCCAATAAATACCTTTTTTTATAATATAATAAAACAAGATTCACATGGCAACAACACTGTACAAAAGATATGTCTTCTCATAGAGCTGCGGCATACATGATCATGTGTGCAGGCTTTGCGGGAAGCTCTGGGGTTGCAGCTTTCATGCCTGGACGTAGCCCATGGCATAGCTGTCTTTGAGTCACCTATGTTTCATAGTCTGCGTGACTACAGATATGAGTCACCGAGGTGACGTGGGCTAGTGCTTCTGATGCAGAAATAATGTCCTTTTACAACTGTGATTCTGATGGGAAGAACAAGATAGGCTTTGAGAACAGACTCACATGGCTTGTCATCTGTCTGTCTGGTTGGTTTCGGTGGTGCTGTGATCAGACCCATGCCATACAAGCCCTATACTATGGAAGCCACACCCCCAGCTCTGCCTGGCTTGGCCCGAGTCAAGTTCGAAGCTCTGTGGCCACCTATGTGCTCTGACCCGGGGAAACTATCACATTAACGCTTGGGTCAGGGACTTGAACTGAAATGCCCACAGGCTCAGGCAGGTAACATAATCCAATGAGGCAGATGAGGTGAGACAATCATACTGACAAAATAACAGTAACACTAAGTCACAGGAGACCCTGAAACTTCAGAATCTGTCAGCCTGTACATGTGCCTACCTGGCTGCTTGGCAGATGGCCATACCTCACTCTCTGCACCCATGGATCTCTCAAGAGAAGCCAGGAAGGGGGAGGGGACATACCTCAGTTCTTCAGTACTGGCCATCGTGGAGAGACACCTGAGGAAGCAGTGGAACAGACCACTGGGTGTGTCCATGAGGGCATTTCCAGGAACTATTAGATCATGAGGCTCTGGCCTGATGAGTAGATTAATTATTTGACAGGTTTATACTATGATGGCGTTATTGAGAAGTAGGAAGAAGGGTCTAGGGAGAGGAAGTGAGTCACCAAGGGCGTGTCCTTAGATGCTGTATCTTTCCTTAGCCTCTTCCTGTCTTCTTTCCCCCATTTCTTGGCCACTACACAGTGAACAGCAGCTCGCCTCCACTACAGGCTCCTGTTGCCTAACATATAGAGCCAAGCAGCCACCAAAACAAGCTCTCCTCCTTTAAGCTGTCTTCTTAGGTATTGGTCTACTGCAGGAAGGAAAGGAACTGACATGCTGGCTTGAACTTCTTAAAGTGCCATAAAGGGGCTAGAAGGATGGCTCAGAGGTTAAGAGCACTGCTGGTCTTCCAAAGGTTCTGAGTTCAATTCCCAGCAACCACATGATGGCTCACAATCATCTATAATGAGATCCGGTGCCCTCTTCTGATGTGCAGGTGTACATGCAGGCAGAACACCATGTAAATAATAAAGTAAAATCTTAAAAAAGAAAGAAAGAGAAAGTACCATAAAGGCTAAACAAAAGGAACCCTCAGGCAAGATTTCTGGTTCACCAAGTTAACAAGCTTTGGGATAGATAATCAATCAAGGCTTTGGAAATTAAGAATTCCGTTTCTATCATCCTCTAATAAGTCTATGTTTTATTTAGGAAGTTTTCCTGGTAGCCTTATTTTTTCTGAAACTGAAGGTTAGAAATAATCTCAAAATTCCAAAAGAGAAAATATGAGTGCAAGTTAACTATGTCAGGGAAAAACCTTAGGAATTCTAAAGCCCACAGGAGAGCTGAGTCTTCCTGACACCAGAAGACAGTGAGGAGCAAAGCAGGCAGGAAGTAGAGCAGCTCCCATAATGCACTGAAGCTCTTAAAAGGCATTGCAACACCCATAAGACATTGCAACCATCAAAAAACATGTTGTCACAGAAAACTTAAGCAATGGGAAATGCTCAGCATTAGATTATGCCAGAAAAGAAAAAAATGCTTCATTCCACTCAAGCTTTACACTTCCCCAATGTGCACTGGACAAGTTTTCTGGCAATTAAAACCAGGCAACACAGCCACCCATCAGGAGCTGGTGATGCATACCATCTCCCATCTGGAGATGAAGGCAACCACTTTTCAGATCCATGGTCTTGCCAGTCAAGAAATGGTCTTTCCCTTCAAGAGGAAGAAGGTTGGCATGGAAAAAAAATCACAAGAGCAATAGCCCTAAATTTCTGGAGTTAGGATCAATTCTCACTGGTGAGGTTAGAAATCTTTGTCATAAAAAGAAAGGATGTCAAGAACAACAACAATACACACACACACACATACAACCATGCTGGCACTTACCCAATGGTGGGGCTGATGTTGTGGTCAAAGTGGTCCTGGACAAACCGACACACGATGCTTGATTTCCCAACCCCCGTGTCCTAGAAGAGAATGAAGGCACAGCCATGAAAATCCACCAAGTCTGACATGATATGAACACATGACAAGGGGGTGAACTACAGGAGCAGAAAAGGACATCCACTATTCCCTACTAGAATATTCTATGATGTACATTTACATCATAGAAAATAAGCACAGTAAAAGCAGGTTTAGAAACACATCTCACATCTAGCAGCAAGGAAGGGTCTAGAGAAGATCTGTGGCATCCTGCCATGTTGTTTTGCAAGAGAGAGAACTGATGTTTTCCAAAGTCACATTGTCAGGTTAATCTGCATCTAGGGAACACCACGGAAGACCTCTGAATCTCTGCATTCCCAGTGTCTCCTCAGAGTGGGTGATATTAACCTCTGGTTTTGCTGCGTTCTATAATGGTCTCTCTCAGAGCTTTTTTAAGGAAACAATTCTTTAAAGTTGATCAAGACAGGAATCCCTTACACAATGGAAATCAAACACAGACGTGTGCCTCTACTTCCTTTCTAAGCCCTAACAAAGAGCTTAGAGAACAGGCTCAAATTCACAAGGTCACAGAGACGGAGCCCAGACAGATGGATGATACCAACAGTGCCTCAGGGAGAGACTGTGCCTGAGACAGAGCCTGACCCAGCAGGACTGAGGCTAGGGAATCAGCAAGCCGCAGTGAGCAAGGCTGAAACAGGTGTTGCTGGAAGGCAGTCTAGGAAGCAAGAGGGCTTTTTGGAAAACCAGGACTTGAGACATCAGGCACATGCAAGAAGGAAGGGGTTATATATGCTTAGGCAGAGAGAGCAAAAGATTCCCTCTGGGTAGAGGGGGTTGAGCCCCACATACAGGTACCAGCGTCTCCCGATTAAAGAACATTGCATGCTCCAGCCAACAACCCCAGAGCTTCTAAGTAAAGATGGACTGAACCTCTGAAACTGAAACTAAATAAACATCTCCTGCTTTGAACTTGTTTATCATAGGTATTTTTCCATAGAAACAAACAACAACAACAAAACACCTGACTAATTCAGATCATTAAAAGATGTGTGTGTTCTCATAAGTTAGAGATATGACTTTGTTCAGTTAGTTATCTATTCACTTATGTATTTTGAGTGTCTCTAGCCCAAGCTGGCCTCAAGCTCACTACAGACAAGAAGGGCCTTGAACTGTTCCTTCGACCTCCACCTCTCAGAGAGTGCTAGGAAGGCAGGGGTGATGTACCATCAAGATTAGCTTATTCTTCACGAGAGATCAAACCCGGGGCTTCATGTGCTTTACACGCTCTGCTCCTACCAACCAAGTCACATGCCTACCCCCTCAAGGTGCGATTTTTAAAAGCCCAAAGTTTGATGCTGATGACATGGCTTGGTAGATAAGAGTCCTTGCTGTTCTTGCAGAAGACC